TAAGACATTGCGTTTCATCCTGTCATTAAGACTTATTCCAGGTCGCAAGATTTGCCAACAAAACATTCCGTCTTTCGTACAAAAATCTCTCCCAAACATCTCAAAGCAATCCTACATCAGGTTTGTCACAGCTCACCTCCACATGAGCCGGCTCCCGATGCTGATAACATTTACCTGATAGAAGCATTTCTAAGCAGCACTGCACATATATTCAAGCAAGGACAAGCAGTGAGAGGAGGCAAAGCTGCAAATCACACCCAGTTTGAGGAAAAGGCAGGGCAAGGCACAGTGAGCCCATATGGTGCAGGGATGTGCCTTCATCTCCCATACCTGGCTGCCTAGAGAGCTGTGGGTGCCCCATTTCTGGAGGTGTCCAAGGCCATGGATGGGGCTGGGGCAGCCTGAGCTGCTGGGAGGCAGCCAGCCCACAGCAGGGGATGGGGTTCAATGGTCTTCAAGGTCCCTTCCAACCCAAACCACTCTGTGGTTCTATGATCTGCAAACTCCAAGCACAGCCCAGGGCACCCCACTACGAACACACACGTGATATTTCAGCAGCATGGAGGTTCACATAGGGTGAGGGCAGATGCCCTCCCTTTTGCCCATGTTCTGAGCCATGCACTAACCCTACCCTCGCCACGCTTCTCCCAAAATCCCTATGCTTTTCCTTCATTTCCTCACTTCAGCATCTTCCTCCAAGCTCAAGCACCCTCTGTCTATAACAACCACCTATCTAACACGAGCTCATGCTTTTCCCCTTCCAACTATTCTCCTTTTTCAGCATATTGAAGATAGAAACTATCTACAGCAGCAGATGCATCCCACGCATTCAATGCCATCTGCAAGGAGCAGCCCCTCCCATGGCTGCTTTTCCCCTAATATCGACTTGGATTGCCCTGGGGATGACATCAGAAAGTTGGTTCGCTGCTCAGCGTGGATGAACTAAGAGTGTTTATTCATCCTTACTTTATCTGTGATGCAAATCAAGCACTCCAGTTACATATTTTAACACAAGGGGTTCTGGTTCCCATTTTATCCCATCTCTGCAAAGGTGGAATGGAGGGGAAAAGACAGAGGGAGCCTCTCCCAGCCCAGAAAGAGTTGGTTCATGGGCAGCAGACACAGCCATAGCCCCACCAGCACCCTCAGACAGCTCAGGACCAGACCATGGATAGGGACAGCTGCCATGGGGACACCGTGCAGGACCTCCTAGCAGGACCATCAGAGCTCAGCACAATATAGGCTGTGCTGACCCGACCCCACAGAGCAGGAGGAGGGGGACATAATTCTCATACAGATATACACCGATCCTATTCCTCTTTTCTTTTTATTAAAAATAAAAAAAAAAAAAACCAAACAGCTCATTGGAGATCAATTTAGCTGCTTAATAACTTTCAGATAAGGAAATCTGCTGCTGCAGCAATTTTTTTCCCTACCCTAATTAATTCCTAAACATATCACAAGCTGGAAGTGCATGTTTTATGAATCCGGTTGACCTCCTGGTGCAGAAATGATGACACAGATGTTGTGCCTCCTTCACTACCTCATTACTCATGTTACACCATTCTTCTCCAAATGAGCTGCCTGCCATCAACAAGGCACACTGCAAAGAGCCAGCAAGGCTCCAGCAGCATCCTACAGCCACCAGAGCACCACACTGCAATACATTGTGCAGCCAAAGCTGGGAGCCCGATGGGAATGGGGCTCTTCAAGGAAACACAGGCAATGCAGAGAGGCACAGTCGTGGGATTCTTGGCAGGAAAAGAGGAAAAAGAGAGGTAGAGGATGGATAGATGATGGCAGAGAAGCAGCTTCAGGAAGGAGGGAGCAGATCCTGAAACCCCTCCAGCTCTTGGATACAGATGCAGTGTTTCTGAACCTGCAGAGCTGACCCTGGTGATGGGAGGAAGGCATTGGGCTGCACACCCCACTCGGTTCCACTTCAGAGCAGGATGCTCAATCAGAGGGAAGCGTTTAAGAGCACACTTTATACCCATCTTAGAAGCTGACAGAGCACAGCACAAGCAGCTGATCATTAGGGACACATCGGGATGCGTAAGATCAAGAAGAAAAAAGGAAACTTGTCTAAATAAGAGCTGAAAAATCTGCTGGGAAACCAAGAAAACCAGCAGCTAACTGTCTGCTGCCAGCACAACGCAGGAAGTTACAAAATAAAGATCAGCTTGATGACATCTGGTCACCTTTATTCCAGACACTCCAACTCGCAGGGAGGTGGTATGAGATGAAATGAGGCTTTGGTGTGATAGCATCCAGGGAAGGTGAGAGGTGGCCGTCCCCATGTGTCACCTACCATGGGTACCAGACCTGCATCTCCATCCTAGGGGCACAGCAAAGGGCAACACAGAGCTGCAAAAGAGTTCAGCCATTCAGGTGGTTCAGTGCAAGGTGAGATGTGCCCATCCTACCAACACCCACAGCTCTGCATCCTGCGATTGCACACACAGCTGCAGCAACTACTAGAAAATGTGGCTCTGGGCCTGAGCCCACAACGATGCTCAACAATAACTGAACAGGCATAATATGGTGGAGAAAAATATATCTTATGTTCTGCTAAATTCAGCAATTTACAAGGCTGGAATAATTAGTGGTTTAAAATGTTTTGACACAAGCAGCCCCAATAATCATGATAAATCATATCAGGCATATGCCCAGATCCTCAAAGTGACAGACGACAAACAGAGCAGTGACAAGACGCTCTATCATGCGGGGAATCATTGAGTTAATGGAAGAATTATTGCTTCTGAAATCCACTCCAGTCCTATTGTGGGGAACATTCCAATTTATCAAAGCCAAATGAACATTAATTGCTGCAGCCTGGTAAGTTTTCGAGCTGCTGTGACCTTCATTGAATTTTAATCCAAAACAGATAAGATTTACTTCCACACAAGAGGAAACAACACAATTAAACCCAAATAACAGCTAAGATTATGGGGGAAAAACACAACAGACATAATGACAAAAATATTGATTCCTTCCTACTTGGCGCTGCACAAAAAATGAGGAGTAAATAAAATCTAGCATTTACATAAATGTATTTATACGTATATATTTCCTTTCCTGCCTTTGCATCTGGGAGACAAATCTTAGTTGCTCAAGCCAAGAGGAAAGGGGTGGCAGACAGTAATGGAGACTGAATTCCCTTTAACTGCAGTAATTAATGTGTTATGTTTCAGTGGGGAAAGATTAAGACAAAATGGTGAGAGAAAAAAAGAAAAAAAAAAGGTATTATTGTGCTGTTACAGATGTCCTTGAGCTGCAGAGACGCAGAGAGGGTCACAGCTGCCCCTGGGACATGAGGCAGGATGCAGAGGAATGATGGCACGGCCATGTCAAGTGAATGGCACAAAGCAGGACATGGAGGGCAGGAGCTGGGCACCCAGGTGGCACTCAGCAGTGTGAGCTCTGCAGGATGCAATGACTTGGGGTCGAGATGAAAGGTAATAGGATGGGAAAGCAGCCCAAAGCTCGGGGACACGGATGGCATTTAATCCAAGAAACAAAGACTTTCAAGCAGTTTTACTAAATAAATCCATGTGGTTTTGAGAGAAACCCACAAAAGGCATTTATCTTCTGCTAGTAACTCCAACCTTGGCTTGGGTTCACTCAAAGTCAATGAATCTTCCAAGAGATGGGCAAAGCTTCCTGCTGGTGGGCAGTCCTGGCCCAGGGAGCTCTGCAGATCCCCAGCACCAGGACTTGGAATGAAAGTAGAATTACAGCTGCTGTGCATGAGAAATGTTGGTTTCTCTCCTGTCCTCACCTCACTCATCTAGAAGCTGTCACCCAAAGCCACGGATGCTCCAAAGCCATTGGTTTCAGTGCTGCATGGCAAAGCCTCATCTAGCCAACCTCAGCACAGGGTGCCCTGAGACATCCATGCCCACTGTAGCCAAGCAATCCCACATGCCAAGCAGGGCTCAAGCTTTTCACACCCCAATTTATGTTTTGCTGTCTTTATTCTTCGCTCTCTTTCTCTGCTGGTCTTTTCAGGCTTATTTTCTACATATCCCAGCTCTACTGTTTTCCTCCCCAGTATTCCATCACACTGACACCTGCAGCAGGACATGAGAAGCATTCCCTGCCCAACCCACTGAGCTCCTGCCCCTTCTGCCATCCTGCTGTCACACTGTGCCTTCCCTCACCCAACAGCCTCAATGCAAAGCCTCTTCCTGCATTCACTTGCACTCAATGCCCAATCCAAAGCCTCGCTGACAAGGGTTGAGACATTCAGAAAAAAACCCACCAGATTTAGGTTGTAGAAGCCAAATAGCTGCTTGTTCAAGCATGAAAAAAAAAAAAAAAAAAGTCGTCATGAAGCCACCTCTGCTCTGCCTTCCAAAATGAAAAAACAGACGGCATGGAAATGGCACACAGGCTGTAAAACACGAACAGATGCACCTCGTGCAGAGGGGTGCTGCAGTAGGATTCCCATATGCAATTTGTGCAAGCAATGTGCAGGTACACAGTGCTCTGGGGATCTAGAAGCCTAACTTCTAGACCACCATCTCATACTGAATTAAGCACCCTGAAAGGCACAGAACACATACACAGTATGTTAGTGACAGCCAGAATCTAAGATAAGAAATGTTCAAAGCACTGAGATCATGTTTTCACTCATCAGACTGACCCTCTGAAACAGGAGGATCGTGCTGCAGACCACAACTTCTCAAGACACGAAATTCAGCTTACAAAAACTCCAAAAAATAGCAATCAACCCACAATCTTGCCTTTGCACGTACCACTAAGGCCAAGGAGATCTCCACCCACACCCTGACAGGTGCCAGCAGATGCCTGAGGACTCCCACATTCCCACTGCCCCACTTTTCATTCTCAAACAAGACCAGTCCCACTTTGCCTCCTGGCCCTTTCACACACAGCTCTCCCTCTCTGGAGGCACAAGAGGACACAGACAAGGGACAAAGACATCGGACTCTCCAGCCTGTCCTTTACCACCAGTGTCCCCATGCCTTCCCACTCACCATGACGGAGATATGAAGAATGTGCATCTGTTCCTCCACGATCTCGGAAGGCTCCTGGAGGCTGGGAGGGGTGGCCCGGGAGAGCTGCTCAGCACTGTTCATGGACACATGGAAGTACAGGGTGCCGTTCTCCAACCACTGCTGCTTCCAGTGCACCAACGAGATGTCTGCCACCGTCCCCGACATCTCTGCAGGGACAAAACATGCAACCGAGGGTCAGTTTGTTCCACGACATCACGGCTTCACCACCATCTGCGTAAAGAATTTCCTCCTAATATCTAACCTACATCTCCCACCTTGGGACTGGGAGCCAGGATAACAGCATCCCAACACACCCCAGCACAGCAGCATCTCCACCCAACACCTCCACATCACCATACCTGACAAATGAGGAGCTGGGACAATTTGGGCACCATGCAACCGAAAGCAAGCGCAGTTCTGCGCTCAGCACTGCCAGCAGCTCCGATCTGCAGCTGCAGCTCCTGGCTTGGCCAAGCAGCAGCAGAACAGGAGTGCTGACAGCTCCACAGCTGCCTATCAAGTTTTTAACAGATCTCTGCAAAGAACCGATTTGTCAGTTTGGCAGCCAAACCAAAACCGAAAAAAAAATATACTAGTGCTAAATAAGTCACAATATTTCTCCTTCCACCACCTCTCTTTTTGCGTTTGTTGTTCCATTTGCAATACAAGCAATGGGAAAGAAGTCAGGTTCCCACCGGCAGTCCTCTGAGTCACTGGACGTGGGGTGTCAGCAAGCAGTCACATCATGGGGAACCCAAACCCAATTCCCTTCTGTTTGGGGAGAGCAACCTCACATCTGTTTCAATGGGTCGTGACGTGCTTCAGAATGATGTTTTCAAGAAGAGTGGAGATGTGGCACCGAGGGACATGGTCAGTGGGCACGGTGGGGATGGGTTGGGGTTGGAGTTGGTGATCTTAGAGGTGTTTTCCAACCTTAATGATTCTGTGGTTGTAGTGGAGGGAGCAGCCAGGGCATTCTGTATTCCTGAAAGCTACTGGGCAAAGGCACTGCCAGCTCTAGCTTGGAGTGGGAACAATGAAGTGAGGCCAGCTGAGGGCATCCTCAGAGCTCCCAACACCCTTTGGGTCAAGGTCCTTCAAGGTGCTGGGTCACAGGTAGCCCCACGAGCCACAAGACCAGGCGCTTCCACTTCTACAGACCCACGTGCCAACCCCTCCTGACCCAAAAACAAAAGTCTATTTTTCAGGAACACTTCTTCCCAACCCTGAAACCAGCACGTTGTTCAGCAGCAGACTCCAGGCTTTGAACCACAGATTAAAGCAGAGAAGTCCCCACCGTGCCATGGGAAGGCTCCACGGGGCTGCTGCTGTGGGATGGCAACACCCCACTGCTGCTGTGGGGCTTCAGTGGGGCTGGGACGAGGACAAGGTGACCCTGCTGCTGCCAGCCCCTTATTCAGCACCTCGCTAATGACACTGCAGGCACAACGCTGCCAGCTGAACCTCATCGAGGGCTGTGCTCATTAGTGCTGCCTCCCAAGCACAGCACTGGTCGTTATCCCCAATTTCTGCGCACATCTGAGCACTCAAAGGAAAAAAACTAAACAGCTCCTGACCATGCATGGGATCCATAAGAGCCCACGCTCACACTTTGGAGGGGATGCGTGAACTCACTGTCATATCTCTGCCATTGCAACGAGACGTCTCCTAATAATCCCTTCTCTCCTTTAATATAAATAGCTGTTTGCTGGAGCAAAGCGGAACCAGGAGGAGCTGCTCGCAGCCTTTGCCCTGCAAATCAAGTCAGGTCTGCGGCTCACACTTCAGGACAGGAGCTGGTGCAGACTGCACAGTAAGGAAAGCCAGAAACACGGCCATCTCACCTGCAAAGAGGTGAGAGCAGAGGGCCTCTTACAGTGGTAAAAGTAAGAACAAAATGAAGGCAATAGCAGAGCTGTTTGACCACAGTTGTCTTCAGACCGATACTTTAAAGCTCAGCACTGACAAGCATCTACCTGCCTAATTAAAATTGCAACGAAGGTCACATCGAGGAGCAGAAGCACTGATTCAGCTTTGGGACAGACAGCACAACCCCTCCTACAGAGACAAGGAGGGAACAGCACAGAAGCATCACAAGAGAAAGCCCTACTTTCTTAAAGCAATGCTAACTCAGCTCAGAGGTGCAATCACCCACGGGACAGGGCGATCTGCACTACTGCTCACTGGGCATGCACACTTCCAACACATCTCTGCAGCTTCCCAAATGGGCTCAGGATCAGAAGTAGCATCGCCTGGAGCACAGCAGGACCCAACGTGGTGCTGCCAGGACCCAGCCATCCCCACTCCCAGCGGTGCACCACACCAGGACGGCATGGGAAAAGCCCCAGGAGCAGCCAGAATCCTCCAAATTTCTTCCCTTTCCGCACACGTTCTTTTGCATGGGGCGTTTAAACGGATCACAGAGAACATTTCTGGGGAGTTCTGAGATTCAGGCAATTTTTTGGATTTTAGCCTAGACTGGAGATAAGCCTGTTTCATGTTCAAAAGGTCTCTTCCAAAAGTAGAAACTTCAATTTAACATTCATTTCGCAATGTTAAGCAAAACCCAGCAGCGAAGCAATTCCTGACGAACGCCGGGTGCCATTTACCATACATTTATAAATATCTGAATGCTCCCCAGCCCTGAACCCCACGATGCAAGAAACCTGGCCATCACCACCCCTAATACTGCCAGAACACCGGGAGCCTTCCAGCAGATTTGCTGCTCGGGGAGAGGAGAAAAAAAAAAAAAAAAAAAAGCAAAAAAAAGCAAGAAAAATGTTCTCGAGCCCTTTTAGCTGCTGAACCCTTCAATATCCAAATGCGGGGAAGTTTCTTGGCCTCGAGCACTTGACATGAATATTATACTGCCTGTGTTTCGCCGGACACGCATTGTCACCCCGCTATCTACACGGTAGTTACAGCAGCGATATGCCGTCCATCAGCAGGAATGCAATAGTCTGCAGCAAGATTGCCTGTTATCAGAGCTTTCAAATACTTTTGGAACAAATTAAGGGCATTCCTGCACTAAAATAGAATGAGATACAGCGAGGGTTCGAAATGGGCAGCAATGGAAAAGCACTTGTAGGCTGTAGCTATTGAAGAACTCAAGCTATTCAGCGTTCAAGCCGGTCTTGAAGCAATGGCCACAGCTCTGTGGGTGAAACAAGGAGAAAACGGTCAGGCTGACCCACAGATCCAACCCTGCCTGTGTTGGCGATGATGCTGACTGCCCCCGGGGATGGATGGCATCTGCTAACGATGCTCTGAATTTAAGAAAAAGTACACAGAGCATTTTCTCCTTCTCTGCCCTTCCTCTGGGTCCCACAAGGCTGCAGCTTCATGTTTTCCTTGGAAATCAAACGTACCAAACAAAACCCTCGCACTGCTCAGAACCCAAACAGCTCATGGCAATGGGACAGTCACCATCCAGGACAGGTCAGGGAGGGATGTGGGACCCCAGCAGGGCTCCTTCCAATCGATTTGGTAATTCCATTTTCCCTCCACCGTTCCTACAATCCTCACACACAAACATTTTGAAGTCTTCAGCTCTTATTACAATCAAACCTAAAAGCAAGAAGGCCTAAACGCACTTGGTTGGGAACCAAGACGATTCCCATAAAAGCAGATTATGCTGACATGATGAATATAAAATGAAACAGCAGATATTAAAGTTGGAGAACTGTTACTTCGTGCCTCCCGGCTGCCGGGCGCTCTGCCTCCCCCTCCTCCTCCTCCTCCTCCTCCCGCGCTGTCTGGCTGATGGCACAAAGCGAGCTGATAGCCTTTTCACCCCTGCCTTCTCCAAGGCAGGCTGCCAGGCTTGAAATATTCAGCAGCTCCCCCCGCCAGCCCTTATGCAATGCTTCAGCGTTCATCGGTTATTCGGGAGGTTGCAGCCCTGCCTTATCTGCCACCAAGTTTCACAAAGCGTGTTTTGTATTTAATTGGCTTGTTCTCTGCTAATCCACCGCCGCCGTTTTGTTTCATCCTTGAAGGTCGTCATTAAGACAACCCCACTTTGCTTAGAGCCCTTCGCCCCGATCTGTGCCCCAGGCCCAACCCACAGCCCTCCCCATCCCCAGACCTGTTGGGTTCACCCACAGAAGCCAAGGTCCCCGGATCCCTCACCCTAATGCTCAGCACCGCTCCTGCCTTCAGCCACTCTGCTGCTCTCCCCAGCTCACGCTCTCCAAAGCCACCACCCACTGTCCAAGTGCTGGTTTATAGATCCTCTGGTGCTAGCTACTACCACTTATGCTAATGAACCAAAATTATGCACGAAGTCATAAACAGAGATCTCCCCAGCGCCCTTGCCAGCACACGATTGCTCCCTGCAGAGCAGATTATAGCAGACTTGCTCCAAAACGACTCCAGTAATGGGGTTTCCCCCTGCTCCCCGGGGGACAATTCTGCAGTCAAACAGGCCCTTCTTAGGGTTTGGGTCTTTTGTTGGCAACGCGGTGGTTTTTTTCCTCCTCAATCATTAGCTCACTTCATTATTTCTTCCCCCTTCCCTCTGCTCAATGTTAACGTGTTCCTTTCCTTCTAAACCTGCTCCCCTCGCAGCACTCCCCAGGGCAACACACAAACACAGCTGCACGTTGTAAAAAAAAAAAAAAGGAATAGAGAAGCTCAGAAGTTTAAGAAGGTTGACAAGATCCCTCTGATCATCTCTTTTCAAAGCATGAGATGCTCTAAACCTGCAGGGAACTCCACGGGTGGCTCCGGCACAGCACGTCCCCAGGGCTGGGACTGGGAGCTGCTGTGGATGCAGGAGGGCAGCAGGGAGCCTTGGTCCTGAGGTAGCCCATGGGGAACAGCCTCAGCACTGTAAAAGTTCGAGTTCAGCATCTCCTCTGCTCTGCCTGATGCTGGATGTACCAAATGGCCAGAGCCCAGCACAAGGCGAGGTGTGCGTGGAGGGTTTTGTTGTTTTGGGGCTGTCTAGAAGGAGAAGAATACTGGGTTCATGTATGATCTGGAGAGTGGGCACCTCAAAGATTGCATAGGCATGGTAGATCAATATAGCTCATAGGCAGCTCTGATGGACTAACTGACAACAGCTGACAGTCAGCTGAGCCACCACCAAGGATCCCCCAGCTGGATCCCTCATGACCAGCACACCTCCAGTTTCTTAATTGCTGAAGGTCTGCACCCCAGCTTG